GCTTTGGTCTTCCTACAGGTTTAAGTCTTTCTTGGATCAGAGCTGATTGATGTAGCAACATGCTCAAGAAGGATGCAGTTAGTGCTGGAATATATCCTTGACTAGACCATGGTAGCTCAGTGTCAGGGCTACCTAACTGGAACCACATCTGACTTTGTAAACCAGTAATTCTACTTACTTCAGCTGAAGATGCAGACTTCAGAGGAAATTGAAGTACTACTGACAGGGCATGCCACTATGGTGGTTAATTACCAAGGTTAATTCATGGAATTACCGAAGTCTTCGTGCTAATGATGCTTTTACAGGACATCAAATAGCAGAAGAGGTTGCTGAAGGTAACTAGTGGCTGGTTTTATAGATTGCTTCTCATGCTACATGCAAATTGTCATCATTTTTAATATTAGAGCCAGAAGTGGTCCTGTAATGTGTTTTGGGCCCAGAAGAAATGCAAATGATGAGCCATCTTGAACAAAACAAGAATCTCTAGTAAATCTTTATCTTATCTGTCAGGGGCCTGATGTATCTCTGAGCTAGGTTGCTTTACTCTAGATTGATCCAGGTATTCTGCTGACACAGCAGCTTCTCAGAAAGGTTGGATTTCATTTTGCTCTCTGTAGTGTTCTGCCTGAGTGCAGCAGGTCAGCTTTGCTTGCTGCTCAGCTGTACCTTTGGAAGAAAAATAATGTACAGAAGTGTAGAACCATCTAACCTTAGCCATGGCGTGTTGACCTGATGCTGGTTCCATGGATCTGGGAAGTTCCACGGGTGGCACCATGGTCTTGTTTCTAAGAAGCCATTTCAGAGCTCAAGAAGGGAATGTTTAGCCTGGATGGAAAAGTAAATTCTGACTTGTTGGCTCTCTCATTCATTACCTTGAATGCTAAGCTAGAAGTATCCTCCTAAAAAATACTAGAGAAGTATCTTCTTGTTTAATTGAGTTTTCAAGGTCTTTAAAGCTTCTTAAAGTTTTTCTGGAATACAACTTGGAGAATTGGTCATTTTTATAGTTCTTAAAACACAGTAGGTTTACTGGTATTAAAGAATGTTTGAGATCCTTGAGTAACTGTTACAGTTCACCTTGATTCAAGTTTCAAAAATACTGTTTGTTCAGCTTCTGCTAGATTTCCATGCACTCCATAAAAACTGAATATATAATGAATGTTTTGCGGCTAAGGAAGCAGATACGATTGCACATCTTTTGTGCAAAGCTCTGTTATGACTAAAGTTTATCAAGATTTTTTCAGTACACTGAACACATGAGGGAAGAGGTCTGTTAGGAACTTCATTATGAACAAGTGTTAATGCAGGTTTCTGTTCATGTAAATTGAAATACATTCCTATATCCCATCTTGTCATTTTGTTGCTGCTGTAGTTGAATTAATCTGTTGTCATCATCCTCAATTTCTCTCCTCTGCTCAGGGAGGCTCTTCACTGGGCTTTTACCTTGAGGTCAGTTGCATCTTCTGCTTGAATATCACATCGACTGTTCCACTGTAGTGCCAAACCTTTTATTGTACTTCTCTGTTTGTTAAACTTAACACCCAGAAAAGGAACCATATATTCTTCCTGGCAAACCTTTCTGAGGAATTAAGGTGTTTGTATTGCAAACTGAGTCCCCAACCCCCTACTCATTTTAGGAGGTGGTATGGGCTCAATGAAACAATCTGCTCTGCAGTGGCTATATGCTCTCCTGTAAACTTCGCTTCAAAATATTTCAACCCTGTAAGTATGCCCCTACTCTGACCTTCAGAGCACATTCATGAGCCTATAAACTCTTAGGAGACTGGATAATATCAAAACAAAGGCAAAACCTTTTTTTTTGAGATATGGAAAATATGTTGGTGGAGGAGGGGATGGTGCAACTGAAGCACGGCCGTAATTGTATGTATAGGAGTTCTGTTTAGGCCATTAACACTATTCACTGCCATGTGTTTGCTGCTTTTTAATGTTGGAATTGAAATATGGAATACACTGTTCAGAGATTAAGGTTTGGGTTTTAAATCTGAATCTTCAGACTGGATCACCATTATTGCAGCTTCTACTTTTGGCTTTTTACTGGCCCTGTTGAAAATATTTAAGAATGGCTCTGTCCACTCCCCAACAAGAAGAACATTCATAATCTGGATAAGGCTGAATTACAAAGTGGGTTATTCAGTCCTGTGTTGCAGAACACGCTTGTGAGATACAGAAAAGTAATTTCTCTGATTTCTGCTGTTGTGTGTTTACACAGCATTGGTGCATGTGTGGCAATTAAAGAGTTTACTAAGCTATGGAATAGAAGGTTCTGGAAAAACTGCCTCTTTGAAGAAACATGTTTTAATGGCTCTGTTTTAAGAGGAGCCTCTAAACTGGGCACCCTAATTTAAGAATTCCCTGAAATAATGAGTGTTTCTCACAGGCTCAGAAGTCTGATCTGACTTTACAGGAACTAAATTCAAATGCTTAGGAAGCAGGTCTTGCATTTTCTTGAGTTTCAAGGGGAAAGCTGAACATGTAAAAAAGCGAGCATATGCCTGCTGATGAAGTTCTGTGTGCAGAATCACCTGTGATCAGCTGGGTTACACTCAAAGTCACTGTTGTAAAAATCTAGATTTCTTAACAGTCATTTGGTCATTCTGTAGAAGCTGTTGGAGCAAAAATTGAGTAATTTTCAACAATTTGGGATTAATTCCTCCTTACTTCTCTAGCTTTTCTTGATTGTGTGAGTTGCTGAATCTTGCGGATCTGGAAAAATAAATCATGTGCTGTTCCTAGTTTGCTTTTTCCCCTCACAAACCAGTTGACTTTTTCTTATGGAATTCAAGAAATCTGTGAACACAGGTTCTGAAGATTTGATTTGCCAGACAATTTGTTTTGAGTTCACATGGCTTCAGTTTCTTTGATTCCTAATAAATTAATGATTCTTAGTGTCATGCTACCTCCCCCCAGGTAAACATGAGTCTTCAGCAAAAGTAAAGATCAGGAAAAAAGGAGCATATAATGATAGGTTGGTATAGTTGGACTAATTTGAAAATTGATTTTTTTATATCTTATGCTTTAATCCAAATGTCAGACTGTTGATGTCTTATTCTTATAATTTGAGGTGAGATTTTTCGGTGTTGTCTTGTTTGTCTTGCAGCTCACTCTAGTGAGCTCTTGTTATTTCAGAGCAATTGTTCTTAGGTATATTTTCAGCTTCTGTAAAATGTGGGAGGATTCTTGCCTTATGAAATGCAGTTTTCATTCTCACACTGAAGGTATTGATTTCTGAAACTTATGGTAACATTTGAAGCTGTTTTGATAATTTGTCTGTTCTCAAGTAACCTAACAACTATTTAATTTTTCTTCCACTTTTCATTTCTTTTAGCTGGAATGTGACAGCAAACATAAGAAGAATGTTGAAACTTGATTTTCTCCTGCTTTTGGAAAAGTCTAACTTGTGTTTAACTTGTTATTTAATGGGAAAACTGTTCATTGGCCACAGATGACTACTACTAAGAGGCTTTCTGAAATCTGTTTTCGATTATGGAGAGATAGTAAAAAAACAGGCTTATGATGACACCAGTTCCATTTGAGGTTGCTTTTGTCCTAAGCAATAATGGATTTGTTTGGCACTGGGTGCTGCAGTTATGCAAAACAATTGCTCAGTCATCATAGGTCACATGTTCTTTAAATGTATTAAGCAAAGATGAAAAAGAGGTCAAATCTTTATTTTTGTCAAAGCTTATGATTTTTCCATTTTGTCAACAATCCTTGAGAATCCCTGAGAAGAAGAGGCATGGAAATGCACTGTACAGTGCATGTGTTCTGCTTGCCACCAGAAGTTGACAAGTCCAGTGTGCAAAACACAGTGTGAGCCCTGCTCCAGTGAGCCCCAGGCGTGTACTTAAAATAGGAAATGGTTATTGGAACTAAATTATTTTGCCATTTTTATTTTTAGGTTTGCTGGCATGGGTAATCTCATTAAGGTGCTAACCAGGGACATAGACCACAATGCAGCACATTTTTTCTTGGATTTTGAAAGTAAGTCTCTCAGCCCTTCACAGCTGGTGCATTTCAGATGGTAACAGTAGGGTTGCTTATACCTGCTGCAGTGAAGGCCAGGGGACTGAGTTGCAAATCTGGAATTTGAAAGAGTTGCATGTGTTTTTTCTGTTCCTCTCTTTTTTTTTCCTCACCTCCAGTAGTAGCCAAGCCACCATCATGCTGCTGTGTAAATTTTCTTTCCGTGCGCTTAGTCATTTTGGGTTTCTGTGGTCACTGATGTCCATCCATCTGCCTGCAAATCAAGTAATCATGAAATGGAAAATTCTGTCAGTATGCCATAGTAATCTGTGCTGAGCCGTTGTTCACCGTAATCCTCTCTGAGACAAGAGTGATCCCACTTTGGTCGTTCATCGTGCAGTCAATGTGCGTTTTTAACATCCGAAAGTCCAAAGTGAAACTGTCTGATCTTCACAGATGTTTTGGGCACCTCGTGTAAAAGATCTGTGGCATACCTGTGTTAGCATTTTCTGCACACTGAAATGATTCATCTTGATGTGACCTTGATGATCTATGATGGCTTTCTGACAAAATTATAAGGGCTGACAAAAGTAAAGCTCTTTCCTTCTGTTGTCCCATCAGGTAAAAATCTGTAGCATGGCTAATGCTTGCAAATATGGTACTTGGCCCTCAAGGCAGTACTCCTGCTCAGGACACTGGTGCTAGGGTGTTCCGGGACAGAATGAGTCACTGGCAAAGCCTTTGTTTGGATTCTGCCCCTTTCCAGAAGGGGAGCTGTGAAGATGTTGGTGACGTGGTCACTTCTTACAGGAAAGCTGCATGGCTGGGACCACCAGCTGTACCTCCTCGAGGTGTGGGGGTCTCCCCTCACCCATTGGGGCGGCAGCCTGAAGGATGGGTTTGTGCCTGATGGAACTCTCTGGTCTTCTTTCCCCCCACTGCTTCAATCAACTACATTTGGGCTGTTCCTTCTTATAAAAAGAAAATTTTCTTGTCTCTCATTCTTGTCTTGGCAGGTACCTTAACATGGGGAACCTTCTAAAAGTTTTGACATGCACAGACCTTGAGCAGGGGCCAAATTTTTTCCTTGATTTTGAAAGTGAGAAGATGATTTTATATATCTATTACTCTTTGCCTGCAGTAGACTGCATTTGTCATGTACTTAATGTATGTTTTCATTTTGCCATCTTTCTAACTGCTTTGTATGCCTGAGCTATGGATAATTGTTCAGCAAACTTTGATATAAAGCAATAACCTGTTCTAAAATATCTTCAGGTTCTAAAATGTAAAATCTTTATTTCAGAGAGGGCTTTCAAATTATATTTTACTGTTGAAACCTGATATGGTTCTTATTTCTTAAATTAAAATTCTGCCTGCTTTAAATCAAAACTTTAAAAAGAATTGGAATTATTTGAAAACTTGCTGAAATTGCAAGGAGATGGATGCACCTTAAAGAAAGGACTGAAAATGAAACATGAATCACTTCCACTTAATAATGCTGCATATACAGATTTGCTCACAGCAGCTATTCATAGCTCCAGCATCATCACGTTAAATGTGTATATGTGAACCTTATTTGATTTGGCACTGAAATTTAGCCTCATCCCTTCTTAAAAGGGGATCTCAGAGTGTATAGAAATAAAATTTCTTTTGAAAAGAGATGTGACTTGGCTGATCAATGCCAGGTGTTATAGGAGGTTCACATATTGTCTATATTTCTGCTTTTAGTTTTTGTTGCATGATACAGTAAAGCCTAAGAATGGCAGGTAAGTGTTGCTGGCTTCTGCTATGCATGTTTAATTACTGTCTTTTGGTATGCACTGTTGCTTTACCCAGCTGTACATCAACAAGCTTAAAACTAAGAAAATTAATTCTCAAGTGCATTTTGACCATGTTATAAAATACAATGAAATAGTGTAATAAAAAAATTAATGAAGTATTGTGATATGGACAATTTGAGATGCTTTATATCTTCTTTTCTTCCCCTGAATTATTTTCAATTGTGTTTGATGAAACAGTAGCTTGTTTATATTAGTTATATAAAAAGTTCTATTATTCGGAAGCGAATGCTTGGAGAAATATGGTTTTGCTTCGATGACATTTAAACTTACAACTTCTCTAAACCCTTACCTTATAGTGTTGATTCTTATCAGTTGTCTCTTATGAGTATATTGTTATTGGAAGATGATTATCATACAAATCATTCATAAAGGGAAGATTAATCAAAGGCTGTATTCAAAAATCAGGAAACAAAGCTTCTTTAAGACCAAATCTTGCATATTGTCAGAATAGGTACAAGTTAGTGAAGTAGGGAGGACTCATAGTGACAATTTTTGAGCTGTGAAGTTCCAGCTTAATCTGCAAATGTTGAACATTTAACTGGAGTAAATGAAATTCAAGTTAGCTGGATGGAAGAGGCATAATTCTTAAATAAATTGCAATAAAAATTGCTGTGTTTTTTTTTTTTTTTAATACAGATTCTTTAGCTGTCAATTTTGTTTTAAAATGCATGTTTTGAGCATGAACAAGATTTGGCATGAGAGTAAGCAGGTTGCTGACATGAAATGTTTACATACGCAGTTAAATTAAGTGACTTATATTATGGCTGAATTGTTAGACTGTTCTTTATTCATTTTGGACCCTGTCCTGCATTTGTTTCTGCTGCTATACTGTGTATCCATGCTTCTTTCTCCTCTGTTTCAGATAGCTTGCCTTGACAGGATCTTGGCTTTGACACAGTCAAGATCTTTCTTCAAGACTTGGCACTTTATCTTGTGATACTTAATGTTGTGTTTTTATGTGGAAGGACAAGTAAGCTCTGTATTAAATACAAATTTGACAATTCTGTGTTACGTCTGGCCCAATAATAGGCAGTTGGAAGGCTTTTGTTGTTTTGTTCTTAAATCCCTATATATATGTATATCTTTGGGGTCAGCAGACTAGTTAAACGTTTCTTGTGTAGTACCACAAAAAGCTAAAAATCAATGTCCATAAAGCTTTATAGTGCTAAAAACTTCAAATCTAGAAAGATTTTAGACTGGCTTCTGACTATTATTTTTCCCCCAGATATTTGTCTTGGTGCTAGATTCTAGTGACTGCTGTGATGGACTACCAGAATGCATGCAAAAAACATTCTGATAAATGATATGATGGGCTGTTGGCTTCCCTTTGCCCCAGCACTGGTTTATTCTTTCTTTGGTCATTCACCTTACCTATTTGAAACAATTAGTTGTCCTAAGTATTCTACTAAAGTCTGTGCAGTGCCAGTTGAACATGAGCAAAGTGCACAGCTTTGCAAGGATGATATTGTTCACATGAAACAACCACCTGTAATGTGGGAAACTTACAGCTCAACTTTTACATTAGAGTCATTTCTGTCACAGTGCAAATCCTTTCCAAATTTAGTGATTTGAATAGTAGCTAAAATACAGTGTACTTTCAGATGGTGATTTCAAGCTAGGGCTGACAGTGTTCTGTATTACCCCCAGAGAGCTTGGCCAGGTTTCAGAGGAGCCACAGAGACAGTGTTCTCCATAGTAATACTGATAGAGATGAATAAATTATTTCATCTCCAGCAGTCTGGTATTTTTCTCTCCCTTGTTTGTGAGTTTTGTCCCAGACAGTTTCAGATGACTTGATGTGTTCTTCCCTGGGAAAAATATCAGTTTAAGTAGTGTTTGCTGTGCAGCGTAAACTTTTAACCCCAAATTTCGCTGCCTACTAGTTCTGTAGGCTAGCCAAATTTTTTTTTAAATAGTCACTAAATGTGTGTGTTCCCCCTCATACCATATGTTGTCATATTTTTGTAGTATTTAGTTCACATATACAGCATTTGTATATTGTTGCAAGTCTGTTCTTCTGTGTTTATGGTGTGAGCATTCTAAACTGCTAAGTGTATATTGCTTTTAGCACAATAACATTCTGATTAAATTTAAAATTAATTTAAAGATGAACTCCCCACTTGCTTGCAGGACCTAAGTCTTCCCTTTTCTTAATACTGGATTGAAAATAGGAAAGTTGCCCGGAATAACCAGGGGTCAGCTCCCGTGGCAACAGTATCAAGACTCAGGACATCTCAGTGAGCTGTGCTGTGCTTACTGTGTTTGTTCTTTCTGTTCTCCATAGAAAATGAAGAACCATTTGGTTTTCCAATGGAAAAGCATTGGTGGGTAAAGACACGGCCTTGTTGTAACATTGTAGCAGGAACTTAAATGAATGTGGGGAAAAGGGAAATCCCTGACATTTTGTCTCCTTCATCCTCCTGTTTGGATGCCTGGCATTGCTGGCTGCTTTTTCTTAGTTGCCAAGAGTAACTCTAGAAGTACAACTCCCTTTCCTGCTCTGTGCCCTCCACATTGAGGAAAACGAGTTCCACAATTAGTGATTCTCGAGCCAAAGTCCTGTAGGTTCAGTCCTCAGGTACATACTGAGGGATGCTATTCCCATAATATGGGATTGGGACCTTGATCTAGTCAAGGTGACAACTGTGCTTAGGAAGAGGGACCCTCTTTCTCCACCTGTGATGGGCTTTCAGAATACAGTGCCCTGACCAGCACTGAGAAGCAAATAAACCATTTGCTCTGGGTCAGCCATCACTAGGTCTTGAAGATTTTCTGTATCATCCTTTTTATCTCTATCCTAGTAAGATCTTAAATGTATTCTGAAGGGATTATAAAAGAATTCAAGTTTGCTTTTTAAAATTGAGCTCTCTTCTAGGTGGAAAAAAAATTACAGATGGCAGAGGAAATTAGTTGGGACAAATCAGGTTTACAGATTTCTTTTATTGGAGAGGACTAGGTCCACCAAATGAAAGGTCCAAGATGAAATACATACCAAAATAAATAACTCAGTACCTACTGGGTTTTAAAACAGTTTGATATTTAGAAGTTGGTAATAGTCAAAACAAACAAGCAGACAAACAAACAAAAAAACCACTACCCCAACAAATTAAGTATAAACAATTGGTTTAGGTTTCCTGGAACATTTTAGGGAAATGAATTGCAGTAGTTGGCTGATTACATCCTATACTATCAGGAGTGATGAAGGTGTTGACTTGCCCAGCCAGCTGTTCAGTGAAGACCACTAAAATTGTATCTGGAAGATGGTTTTTGTTTCGTGGAGGGTCATAGAACTGCAGCTGCTCTGCTTGTTGGTGTGTTTTGAAATGAGGAGCAGGAGTTCTTGTGGGCCCTTCTGCTCTGCCCTCCCAATGTTGAAAAATGAGGTCTCCTTACTACACAGGGTAAAGAAAAAATGGCATGAAAAATTAAGTAGGCAGGAGATGTACTCAGTGTGAGACGATCCAAGTGACAAGTCTTGATTGCATTATTTAATAACACAATCTGGAATGCTACAGAGCTTCACGTTTTAGTCTGTATTTCACTGTAGCATTTCATGTTCGTGCATGAACTGCTGCCAGTCAACTGGTGCTTCCCTGTCTGCTCTTTTCCCTCATTTTTTGTCTTCATTTCTTACAGCAGTCTTCAGCAGCTTTCAAAATTATGTGACCTTTGTGATGATCTGAAAAGCACTGGCCACTTTTACTCGATGCCTAATCAATGTGGTGCTCTTTTATTTATTTATTTTTAAAGGAGTGACCAGCTTTTTTTTAACCTGTGCTAATTCTTGATGTTTCTTAAAATGTCAGTTAAACTGTTGCAAGGTCTATATGTAGGCATATTTGCCAATAACACAGACTGTCTATGCAATAAACCATAAAAATAAGAAGTATTGTGCAAAAATTACAGAAAAATCCATACAGGCAATGCATGTGAAATTTGTTTTCTCCTAATACAAACTTCATTTTCTCTTGTGTTTTTCTAGTGTGAAACACTAGAATACTGTGGTGGTTTTATTTCAAATGTAAAGATTTACCTAACTTCCATAGGAAATTGTACATATGGGTCATGGAAAAAGCACTATTAAAAAGACATTTTCCAGACTCCTTAAACTGCACAAAGTCATGAGAATATATTGTCCTTAGATAGCTTTTGTTTGTCCCTATAAAAAAGAATCTATTGTTAACACCCTGATTTTTGGCATTGGAAATAGTGAACTGAAATACAATGATATTTATTTCATAACATATTTTCCCCATGTAAAGATAAAAGTGGGGGTTTCTTGTTGTTTGTTTTTTTTCTTAAAAAAGCTTCAGTAACTAACAATTATTTTTTAAATATTAGTGTAAAAGGAACTAACCTTGTAGATTCCATCAAAGTTTAAAAAAAAAAAAAGTATTTCATTTCAGGTAAACCATGTCCAAGATATTTGTACTAGGTGATTCTTTTTAAAGGTTAAAGCCTTTTGTTGATTCTTCTCAAAACATACTTTGTACAGATTTGCCTTTCTTTAAAAGTATATGTGTAGCTTTTTGAATTTATGATCAAATATGCATTTGGGAAGTCCTTATTAATTATACAAAACCTGAGACACAGCATATGTCTTTAAAGACAGGACAAAAAAAAACCCAAAAGCTCACACGAGATCTTTTTGTTCTCAACTCTGTGCAATGAGTGCAATAAAGAATATGTTTTGAGAATTAATTATATTTAAAAGTAAAAGATATGACTCCTTTCCCAGCTAGTTAAAGATGAGGCAGAGAAGATGGGAAATGACCTGATGCAATGTTCCTAGATAACAATAGACAGGGACACCTCTGCTATCTGCAGTGAGTGTGTCTGAGTGCTTACCTAAATCTCTTCCAGTGAGCCTGTACTGTACCCCAAGGTGAAATTATATCATAGTCATGAAGACAACTCATCAGGATTTCTTCTCCTAACTCAGTTTTAAATAAGTCAGGAAGGATAGATTCCAGGTGGGTTTTTGGGATGGTAAATGAAGCTAAGAGACTACTAAAATGAATAAAATTACTCTCCTGGAGTTCCTCAGACATTGTAGTAGCTCTTCAGGGAATGGAAATTCTTGATGAGTTGCTGCATGAAGAATTTTCCCATAGGTGATGGTGTGCCTATTGAATTCCACATTGTTGTTAAATATATATATATGCATGTAATATGTTCTGCTGTTTAGATGCCCAACCTACAGAATCTGAAAAGGAAATTTATAATCAGGTGAATGTAGTGTTAAAGGATGCAGAAGGAATACTGGAAGACTTGCAGTCATATAGAGGAGCTGGCCATGAAATACGAGAGGTGAGCTAGAGCGTTACAATTGTGCACAACCTGTGGTTGTTCATTGTCTGATCCTAACCAAATACTGCTGGGTTTTAACTTTGCTTGCAGGAGCTGTTTTGGCAGAGCATGTTGTCTATTAAAATCACTATCTTGAATTTCTGCTCTGGAATGTTTCTTTTTAACAGCGAAACAGATGTCGCTTGTTTCAGTCGTATTAATCCACATGTGTAATAGCAAATGATGCTTCTCAAACTTTTCAGGCAATTGTTGCTATTGATTTTTCTTTGTGTTCCCACATGAGCTCTTCTTGAGTTAGTAGTGAATTTAGAAAGAACGTGGTGTGACTACAGTGCAATACTGAGTAGTGCTGGCATCTTCTTGTGCAGTAATTGGAGAAGTCTGGTGTGGTAATCCTAACACAAAAGACATCTCATTTTCAATCCCTTTTAGTTGGCTTTTATTTACTACAGTAGACTTTTGGAGAAGCAAAGTTTCTGTACAGAATGTCAGTCCATTTTTTTCTCTATGTTTAAAAAAGGGTGAGATAAATCCTTTCCCAACCTCTGTTCTTTCTTCCTCACATGCAGCAATGAGGGCTGCTCTAATCCTGAAGTGAGGAGTTACTGTAACATACCCTTAAGAAATAGTATTAGATAGGAGGGCTCTCTGCTCTCTCCAGACAACATTGAGATACTCATAGACATTCAGCTTTGAGAGTTTTTTTCTCCATTGAATTCATCAAGTAGTTTTAAGAAGGGTAACTGTGTCACACAAAAAACCTTAGGAGGGGAGATGGCTTACTTGTTCTTCAAGGAAGGAGCAGGATCAGGGAGAGGCTGTAGGATCAGCCAGGAATTCATGGCTCAGTGAGGAAGCCTGCAGCTCTCTTGGAGAAAAGAGAGGCACTCCTGAGAGGAGGGAGACATCTCAGGAAGGAATCTTTCTAGGGACCAGAGAGGAGTGTGATGCAACTTACAGTCCAGGGTTGACCAAAACATATTTCAGAATCAAGGAGTTGACACTGAAGATGCAGCAGGAGAGTTATGAACATTTTTATTTCTCTTTTCTTAGTATATTTTCAGTTGCTAAGTAGTCGAGTTTCTATCTTAAAAACCTAGAGAGGTTGAATTTAAAGTATTCTGTTTGGGAAGTTTACTGTAAAAACAAGATCTATGCATATATACCTCAAAGATCCGGTGCACACCATGTCCTGGTGGTGCTTTATGTTGTTGATTATGCTTAAATGCTCCTACTGTAATATTTAGCCTGAATTTCACAGCAAAGTTGTTGATTTTTTTTTTCCTGCACAAATTCAGGAGTTGGTGATAGATACCAACATTAGGATGAGGCTTTAATTACTAAACTTTTTTGCTGGGAGGAACCACAGTGAAATTGTTGATTTTAATTAATGAGGTCTGGTTATGTAAATTTTCTTATCTGAGTAGCTTTATTTTTAACAATTTCTTTCTACTCTCTCCACGTTGTTTTCCTGTTCAGGATACTTACTTTCAACACAATTACTTAGACCTTTTTGGAACAGACTTGGGTTAGTACAGGCTTGTCTCTCAACTGGAAAACCTCTCAGTAGGTAGAATTTTTGGTTATTAGATCTTCAAACAATTGTCCTGCATAGGTTTTTTAATAATTTTTTTAGTCAGCAGTGCATCAGTTATTCTTAATCTAAGCATACTGTTTTCCTCTCCTTTTCTAATTTAAGGCAATACAGCATCCCAATGATGAGAAGCTGCAAGAGAAGGCATGGGGTGCAGTTGTGCCACTAGTAGGCAAACTAAAGAAATTCTATGAATTTTCTCAAAGACTAGGTAAGTAGAAAGGTATTAACTTGTGTTTTTTGTCTTCATTAATTAGTATATTTGGCATATGTGATCACATCTAGGTCAGCTCCTTAATAGAAAAAAGGTTATGTTGCGTAGATTCCTTCTATACACTGGATTGGATCTTATTTATATCTGTGTACTACCTTCTTGCATGCAACAGCAGACTTGCTTCAGTGGGTACCTGAAAGGAGAGAGAGAATGGGAACATGCTTGTCATCCTCCTTCCCTACTCCTTTAGTAACTCCAGAAAGCAGTAACCACTGATTGTTTGAAAATTAGTGGACTAAATAATCCGGGAATTAGTCCTGTTAATGTTTCTCCTACCAAGAGAATTTAAAAGTGTCTGTATAATTTGTCCCTAAACACCAGAAATAATTTGGTCTGTGGAAATGCCTGATCTTGGTTCACAGAGTTGCAATACTTAAGATGGTGCTTCATACCTCTTATGAAACCAACTTGACTGATGTGGTGGCTAAGCTGATTATACCTATTAGACTTGTTTTTTCACAAACTATCTGTTGTTATCTCACTTTTAATCAGAGTTATTAGCGTAGGTCATGAAAAAATGAGTTCAAAACATGGAAACTTTTTGCAGACAAGTTCTGCTTTGTTAAAGAGGTGAGGCATTTTTCTCAAGAAGATGAACAGGAAGTGGATTGAGTTTATCGTAAGACATGACTTCTGCTTATAGTTATGTGCCTCTTGAATTCTGTGTTATCTTAAAGGCTTAAGTCTGCTAACACAGGTTACTGAAATATGTCTTACACAAATGTTGCAGATGAAGCTTTTCAAGAACTTTTTTTTTGTGGCTCTCAGTGCCAGTGTGACTTAGTCTGTAGAGCAGTTTGTAAGTAAATATGACAACAATGACACATAAATAAGCAATTAATTGCTTATATTAACCAGCATGTATTTTGGCAGATGTGTATTTTAAGTCTAGCATGCAGGATATCAACCAATAGAGATACGAGAAGCAGATGCAGTTGTATATGGCAAAATACTGTCCTGTCGTTTTAGAGGCAGGATTGCGAGGCCTGTTGGGAGCCCTGACGAGCACTCCCTATTCCCCAACGCAGCACCTGGAGCGAGAGCAGGCTCTCGCGAAGCAGTTTGCAGAAATTCTTCACTTTACACTCCGATTTGATGAGCTCAAGGTAAGAACTCGTAGTTTTGTAAGCACAAAGGCTGGCAAAAAGAAGCCAGGTCTGTTTACTGAAGCAATCCAGTTGTGTTCTCTTCTAGAACAGAGTGTGCAGTACATACTCAAAGATCTAGTGTACTTGGCTTGCTTGCATGACCTAGAGTTAGATTAGACTGGAAAGAGATGAAATAACATATTTGCTTTAGGCACTTGTTATATTTCAGTTCATATTAATCATGTTTCTTCATCCAAATTTGGCATATCTCTTGGGATACTGCTGCTACTCTTAGTTTGCGCACATGCATAGTCCAGCTATTTTCTTGCTAATGTGCAAAGAACTAAGATGAAATGATTATTAATTTGCTGGTCTGATCCTTGGAGTCAAACTAGGAAAGCAATTTTTTTTCAGCCTGCTAATTTCTGTCTCCTGCTCCTTTTCTTTTTCCTGTTAGATCTTGTTTTGCAAAATCTGAGAAACTAACCAGAAGGCTTTACTTTGTGGTTATCAGTTCCCAATACGTCACAGGCCTTTTTACTAGAGGAAGCCAAATATTTTCTTATTTGGAGTATTATATTTTATGAACACTTGTCCTTATTTTTCTCGAATTTGTTACAACTCTCTTGCTTCCATATCTATATAGATGACAAATCCTGCTATACAGAATGACTTCAGCTACTATAGAAGAACTCTGAGCCGTATGAGGATTAACAATGTCCCAGTAGGTAACCCTTGGAGGAGATGACATATAATCTTATGCTACCACCTCTCTTCTTCATGTACAGAACAACTAAATTTTTTTTTCCTTCCGTTTTGTAGGCAGAGGGAGAAAATGAAGTAAATAACGAGTTGGCAAACAGGATGTCTTTATTTTACGCTGAAGCAACGCCAATGTTGAAAACCTTAAGTGATGCTACCACAAAGTTTGTGTCAGAGGTAAGAGTGTAAATGTGTGCCCTGGATAGTGTGCTTCAGAGCACCACAGGGCCAGGCATTATTTGGAACACAAAACTTCTACCAGGCTTAATTTGGCATCTAGAAACCAAACTTGGTTTTTTTTGAAGCTTCAAGAAATGTGAAGTGTCTTTTCCCAGGTGCTGTAGAGGTTAGCGACTTCAGCCACTTTTTGTGTCACCAAAGTTAGTGCATAGTGTCACATCAGTGCTGATACCTTTCCTCAAAGAGGGAGGGGGACAGGTAAGTATTTTGCCTCCATTTTGGTGGTGGTTTAGAGCAGAAATTACAGAAAATTGAAAGTGAAACAGTTTGATTCTGTGTGCTTGAAATAAGGAATGGAATTGAAATGTAGCTTCCTTTTCTCCTTCCTGAGAGAAGGTTACACTGTGTAAAGTCAAGAATACTACATTATTGCAAAACAGGAGGATCCTGAATGGGAAAAGTATTCCAACATTTTGACACTATTTATGCTTAATTACCTAGATAAATATTGGTAGTAAAATCCAGTCACTGCAAGTATTGTGCTTGCCTTCTGGTAACTGTGATGATTTTTGGCTTACATGCAAAGAATGCACACTATTTCTTAATTAAAAATAATTGTATGTTACATGATTAATGCAAAGATATATTTGTCTTAATATTTTTTCTAAGTTCCACTTTATACTTGAAATGCCTCAAGAAAATTGACCTCTTGTTTTATATTTCTTTGTGATGTTCGTCTGCTGCAATTTTTCACTATTACAGCAGATGAATATATTTGGCTATAGAAATTTCTGTCTTGAAGGAGCAAGTTAGATGAGTCCTTTAAAATTTACCCAAAGTCTGTAATGTCAATAGTGTAGTTCTTTGACTACACTAAGCAAGCAAAACCTGTGTGTTAGACCTTGTTCTGGAAGTTGCTAACCTATATGGTAACATTTTAAAAAAAACAGTGCAAGACTACCTGACTTACCATAGTTGTATTGATGTTTTTAATTCCCCCATGGTGCCATGCCAGCAGATCACTGATTTGATTTAGGTTTTGTAGCACAATATTTCACAATAAATGAATTGGAAATTGTTAATCTTCTTTTGCAGAATAAAAATTTACCAATAGAGAATACAACAGATTGCTTAAGCACCATGGCCAGTGTGTGCAGGGTCATGCTGGAAACCCCGTGAGTATAAACAGTGCTTGTACTGGGTCTGAGTCATGTCTGTATCTCAGCCGTGACTTGTGATGCATAAGGTGAAAGAAATATAATTGAGGTAATTAGGAACTATGGTGTTTTCTTTTTACCAGCCTAGTTGTTTACCTTGACATGAAACTACATTGTCTCATTTTGCTAGTCATGCAAATCATGCGGTCTACTTTTCTGAACGTATTAATATTTAAAAATAGCATGGCTATGGAAGCTAGACAACCTCTTGGCACTCTTTATAAGTGGTTTTCTCATGTATAATTCAGAGAAATAGACTATTTGAGCATGATTGCCTAGGGCCTCCTGAAAGAGGGGCTGTGGGCAATGTGCTAGACGGTATGTCCTTGTGGGCTGGCCCAGCTGATGGCTGTAACAAAATGACAGTGCCCCTGTCTGGGGAATTAAGAGGCGATTTCTAGGCTTGAAGGCAGTCTGTTGTCTACTATATGTTTGAGAGGCACTGGGAGTATGATCAAAAAGTCAGAGTAAACTTTGGGTTTTGATTTTGGTTTTTTTTTTTGGTTGGTTGGTTTGGAGTTTTTTGTTGTTCTTTTGGTTTGTTTTTTTTATTTTATCTGTTTCTTTGTGTTCTAAATAGTTTTGCACTGGTAACATTACTTGCACGTGAGCTGTGTCTTATTTAAATAATTTTCTGTCCAAATACCACAGCATGTATGTTTTGAAGTACATTAAGAGCTCCAAACATTTATATTCTTACCCTTCTTAGGAACGGACTGTTCCATTCAAGAAAGTAGTTAAATGTTGTTCATTAGCTTTCTTTCTTTACTTTTTTTTTCCCCCTGAGTCAGAAGTTTGGGTGTGTATTATAGGGTGGCAGGGAAAAGTGTAGGAAAGCAAAGTTAATCTTTTTAGCAGCCGGGTCCTCTTTTAGGTTTGAGAATCTTTTTTAATCTTCAGGTAACTCTTTCTAAGCTGTTCTCTGATTTGAAAGGAAAAAAAGAAAACTACCAAAAGCTTGGGGTTGGTGGATTTGGATTTTTTTGGCAGGGGATTCTTTTTGTTCTCTGAGGACTTATAGTAGAATTTTTCTCTTTAATCTTATTTTGGGTGTTACTAGTATGTACTCTTATCCTGTGTTTCATAGATAACCTGTGTTTTTAAATTACAGTGAATATAGAAGCAGGTTTACAAATGAGGAAACAGTATCATTCTGTCTGAGGGTAATGGTGGGTGTCATCATACTCTATGACCACGTGCATCCAGTGGGCGCTTTTGCCAAAACTTCAAAAATTGATGTAAGTTTATTGTTGCTAAATAATCTCTTGAGTATTTAAATTGTGTAAAGTGTGTAGGTTCCTTTTCTGTCTTTCAAGTTCTAGTAGCAGATGTTGGATTGGATAAGTTGGATTGATGCTAAATGGGTAGTGGTAGCTGTGAGCAAAAATATATATTTAAGTAGTGAGAAATACAAGCTAGGCCTTCAGTCATGTAAATGATCGGTTTTAGGCATGAAAAATCTGTTTTTATGGAATTCAGGTAGTGTCTTAAAATACTTGTAAATAGTGGTTGTGCTGAAAGATCCAAATCAGAATGACTGAAAACAACAACGGCATCTGGCTTGTTCCTCACTGCCTGGTAAATAGCTCAGTTCATAATCCACCAGCTTTCAAATGTTTAACTTTCTGCTGCTAGTTCATAAGTCTGTGGAATACATGCTGTTACTGTATGTGGCTTCATGGTTGTTTAAAATGGTCTGTTATCCTATTGTAGTAACTACAGGGTTGGTCATTATTTCACTGACTGAATGTAGTAATTCTTAAAGGATTTATGATAAACAGGTATTTTTGTTTACAGTTTCCTTCTTTTTTTCCTAAGGTCTATAAAGCAGAGCTTGACATGAAAGTCGCATTGTCTGAAGTTGTCATAGAATGGCTTGGGTTGGAAGGGACCTTAAGGATCACCTAGTGCCAACCCCCCTGCCATGAGCAGGGACACCTTCCTCCAGACCAGGTTGCTTAAGGCCCTGTCCAGCCTGGCCTTGAACACTTCCAGGGATGGAGTAGCAGTCTAAAGCCATTCTCCCTCATGCTATCACTCCAAACCTGTGTAAAAAGTCTCTTTCCAGCTCTCTTGTAGCCCCCTTTAGGTACTGGAAGGTGCTATAAGGTCTCCCCAGAGCCTTCTCTTCTCCAGGCGGAACAACCCCAACTCTCCCAGCCTGTCTTCAAAGGAGGGGTTCTCCAGCCTTGGAAGCATCTTCATGGCCTCCTCTGGACTCGCTCCAGCAGGGCGAATTGGGGACCCCAGAGCTGGGTCCAGAGGGGGAGAATTGCCTCCCTTGACCTGCTGCCCACGCAGCCCAGGACATGTTTGGCTTTTTGGTTTTTTTGCAGGGTCATGTTGAACTGTTTGTCCACCAACACCCCCAGGTCTTTCTCTTAAGGGCAGCTCCCAATCCGTTCTCTGCCCAGCCCGTATTTATGCTTGGGATTTCCCTGTCCCAGGTACAGGATCTTGCACCTGGACTTGTTGAGCTTCATGAGGTTCACACAGGTCCGCTTCTCAAGCATGTCCATGTCCCTCTGGATGCCATCCCTTCCCTCCAGCGTGTTGACTGCACCACAGAGCCTGGTGTCATCAGCAAACTTTGCTGAGGGTGCACTCAGAATGCAGCTTTTTAAGTAGCTAAGCCAGTCTGTCATAGGAAAATATCATACTGAAAGCTTAATTCCTTTCTAATATCCAGAAAATGTCTTTACGGTGCTGCTGTTTTTAAATACTTATTTTTTTCTTTTTGATAAACTGAATATAAAACATTTCTGTAAACTCAGAAGGTACTAGCATGAAAAAAACTGTATCTTATTTTAACTCCTAGATGAAAGGATGCATCAAAGTTCTTAAAGACCAGCCTCCTAACAGTGTAGAAGGCCTTCTAAATGCTCTCAGGTACTCTTTTTTTGGTTTAGATTTTGTTAATATTTTGATATGAAATTTCATTAATTGTCCGGGGCATTTTCTTCAGCAGCAGAGTAATCAGTCACTGTTACAGGGAAGGGTGAATGTGATTATTGCAGGCTTGCCTTCCAAGTGCCTTGGGATGAGAGTGCATGAGGAAGCCAGTTCTAACAGCTGGGTTGTAAACCTGAAGTTGTCATTCTAAGATAGCTTTTTGTGTACATACCTGCATGCAGGCTAAGAATGAGTCAGTATGGTGTGGCAAGTAACTATTAATTGTTCCTCTTTCAGAAAGTACTTAAGGCACAAATCTCAATGCTTTTGCTTTAGAACAGATGGGACAAAAATTTGCCGTACTAATTGGAGAAGTAAGGAAAAGTTAATAATTCAGTGTATTAATCTAAAACCATCCCAAATCTTCATTCGCGAAGCCCAGCCATGAACCTGAAACCTTCTAATTTGGGTCATAAAGCTGTATCTATAGTCAGAAACATGTTCTTTGCATGGGTGTCCAGCACTGGAGGAGTGGCAAAAGATGCCAAAATGTTACAGGCAAAAAGGTTCTTGTCCTTACTTGGAAAAGTATCATATTACTTTGGTAACAGATAAGTGTAACTGGATGTTGTTACTCATGTGCTTGCTTTGGAATGTGGAAGCTTTAGTTTGTCTTGCCTGAAAATGTGCATTTGTGATTGCTTTTTCTTATCTATAGTGAAACTGCTTTAATTTCATTTGCCCTCTCTTTATTTTTTTGTGTTATGATATGGTAAGAAGTGAAATGATGTGGTGGTGTAAGTGGATTCATTTGCAAAGTTGTTTCAGATTATTAATTAAATGAAAAAATCTACACTTAATTTGAGACTTCATGTGAGTATTTCTATGCTAAAATGATGTTGTTGATCGTTTCTGAACTTCCTTACTTGATCAGCCTTTGAGATGGTGATCAGTAAAAACACAAGCTTCTGGAGGGAGAAGACTGCATTAGCATTTATTTTCTGGCTAGTTTGTTGTGATTGCAGTTAAAAATGAACACCAGTCTTTACGGGTACCTCATTTTTCCCATCTTTATTGACACTCGTAAAGTACATGGAAGGTATAGTTCGGGTTCTTGCTCACTCACTTTGTGGTTAGCAGTGTAAATTCAGTCCGTGCTGACTCTGACCTTTCCCTACACCAACCCTTTCCACCCATGGATGCTTCAACAGTCTTGGTTTCATACACTTGATTAGTCATTTGGCTAGGATGTTCAAATGTTTCTTTAGATCACATTTGGCAATGTTAGGAAGAGATGTGGGGGTGAGCTGCTGTGTGATGAAAGCAGGTTCAAGATGATGTCATGCAAGTTAAGTCCAAATCTAAGTGTTTGATTCTGGAGGAGTGTTAGAAGTCCTCATGTTTCCTCAAGAGTGAGATAATATGTTTCAAAAGCAAATGGAAGGTGGTAAGGATTTTGGAAGGAGATCAGCTGTTTGTAATTTGAAATTCATATGGGCATTGTAGTCATGTTCAGCTTTTTCACATGGGCAGAATACCAAGTATGGTAACTTTTCAGGATTTCAGAAAACCTTAGACTGCTTGTTTGTGGAAAATATAAATTACCAAAGAGTGCAGAAATCTACATTGATATTAATTTCCTAACTAAAAAGTAATTATATATTCTTCAAGTGAACAAGTAAATATCACTGCAGTTGTGGATAACAATGGAAGTGCTAATTTAACATGTTAAATTACAGAATAAGTTTTTATTTGCTTTTAGATTAGTTAGGAAGGGAGATCAGGGAAATTAATCATACAAAGAAGCCGATATTAAGGATATACATTACTCCCTTTTAAAAATAGAGGTAACTAAGCTTTTTTTAGGGATTTAAAAATGTGCTATTGTCCTAGAGAATTTCAAAGGGGAGGGGGGCTGAAATAAGCACATATGTTCTCTAGTTTTAGCAGCAGTCATTTAACTAAGCAGGAAATAAAGCTGAAATTAGGCTGAAAAATTATTAAATCCATTGTCGTCGAGGGATCTTAGGAAAGTTTGATCACTCGAAGTTTTGAAGAGAAGTTTCTGATGCTCTTTTATTTCAAGATGTTTCCTGTGGGCAGAGACCTCAGAGTCAGTCTGATGTTAGTCTGTCACAAGTGATAATATGAGTTTACTATGAAATGAACTATGAGCACAGAAGCCAATGTCCAGCTGAGGCTTTTGAATTCCTCTTCATGCAAGGCTGCTAGGTTATAATTCTGATTGATAACAGCATTTTCTGATCAGAATGTCTGATTTGTGCTCTGGGTAACCATGGATTGGGTGGGGATCGATGGCTGAGGGTTTTGCTCTGGTACAGTCGGGTTGAGCCATAAACAAAGAAATTACATATTTGTTAAGTCAAAGTGCAATAGCATCTATGCTCATCTCAACTTTTATTTCTGTGTTTAGGTACACAACAAAGCATTTGAATGATGAGACTACCTCCAAGCAAATTAAATCCATGTTGCAATAACAATTACCTGGAATTCGCACCTGCTGTAGACAGTATTCTGCAATGACTGAGATGCACAGATTTATTTTTTTTTAGTGATTGCAACTACTATCTCGTTCATTCTTGCTTTTTATTTTCTCTCTTCCTGTTTACCCTTTTTTTTTTTAATCACTTTCTTGTTCCTAAGTAAGCTCAGACTTCTTTTCTGTGCCAAATCAAAGAAATTTATCAATTCTGGAAAGTATTTCTACTTTTCAGAATAGCCATCCTAAGTGGCAGCTAATTATGCGTTGCATTTGGATTTCTCTGTACTGGGGAAAGATTTGTGACTTGAACTAAATATTTTTAAACTTGTGGTTTTTTTCTTTTTTTGAAAAACTAATATTTAATATTGCTTCTTCTGCATGGCAAGACTGCCTACTTCTGCTATTTAAAAATCCCTTGATGACTTCATTTTCTATTGCAGCTTATTTTCATGTGCAACCATGAGGAAACTAAAAGCAGATTTGTTTAAATTAACTGTGTTTGTACAAAATGGTACCCAACACAAAAGTTTTTTTAAATGAGTAAAAACTGTTTTGTTTAAAAGTTACGTTTGCATTTTGACTCATTTTTGTAAGGATGTATGTTGTATGTTTAACCTTTAATAACTAACGTTAAACTGTGGTGTGTGCGTAGCAAAATTACGTATGCATGTTCATGTCAAATGATTGGCTGTGGATAAGATAATAAAATCAGCTTTCATTTTTCTAAGTGTGGTTTGATTTACCAGTATTTTGAGTGAGATGTCTTCGTGCTCTTTGGATTTTTACAAAAAAAATAAATTTATAAATTTTATATAGTGAAAACTCTGCTTTTTCATTACCAGTAACCACCAGCCTAATCCATACTGATTTAAGCCCAATATGTTTTAGGGTTCTTGCTCTCCACTCTGTGCTGCATCCCTGTCCCCAGAAGTATTACTCAGATGGAGTTTGTGGAAAGGAACTTTTTGCAATCCATATAGATCTCTGTGGATGTTGCTGATTAACTTGCATCTTGGCTACCTGTGCTGACTCAGTATGGTCATCAGAAATGGCATTCTAGATTAGGCTCTTTGCTTACCAGTGGTGGGGTGTATACTGGTGTGTACACTTGTTGATCTAGATACTTGAACTGTGTGAAATCTGAATAATCCCAGTGTACTAAATAATGTGTCTTCTTTATGTGGCATTTTAGAGCAACAAGTGTTAAATAGATTGGTGAAGAAATTAAAGTTCTTTTGGGAGAAGAATTAAAGGGGAAAATGTGCAGCTCTTCGGAAGGACCTCAGCTGGTTGGGAAGTTGGGCAGAGAAGAACCAACCAAAATTCAAGCCAGGGCAAGTGCAGGGTCCTGCACCTGGGGAGGAATAACCCCAGGCACCAGTACAGGCTGGGGTCCATGAGCCAGTCCATGAGCCAGCAGTGCCCTTGTGGCCAAGAGAACCAGTGGTATCTTGGGGTGCATTAGAAAAATCATTGCCAGCAGGTCAAGAGAGGTGATCCTGCCCCTCTACTTAGCTCTGGTGAGGCCTCACCTGGAGTGCTGTGTCCAGTTCTGAGCTCCTCAGTGCAAGAGGGATTTGGAGCACCTAGAACAGATCCAGCTGAAGGCAGCATAGATGACTAAGGGACTGGGCCATCTTTCTTATGAGGAAAGGCTGAGGGAGATGGGCTTGTTTCAGCCTGGAGAAGAGACAACTGAGAAGGGACCTCATTAATGTCTATAAGTATCTGAAGGGGTGATGTCAAGAGGACAGAGGCAGTTTCTTCTTGGTGATGCCGAGCAATAGGGCAAGAGGCAACAGGCAGAAACTGATGTACAGGAGGTTCCACCTGAATATGGGGAAGAACTTTACTGTTTGGGTGGCAAAGCACTGGAACAGATTGCCCAGATTGATTGTGGAGTCTTTCTCACTGAAGATGTTGAAAAAGTGTCTGTAAGCAATCCTGTGCCATGTGCTTTAGGATAACCCTGCTTGAGCGGGGAGGGTGGACCAGACTGACTCACTGTGGTCCCTTCCAACCTGGCCCATTCTGGGATTTTGTGAAAACGAATTGAGAATTACTAGGGAACATCTCTGGGAAATGGCATGGTTTACCTCGAAGGGCAAACATTAGTGCACCTTGTGTGCATGGTGCTGTTGTGATTATGCCTAACATGAGTTCTGGAAAGGAGACTTGAAACCCCCAGGCAAGTGTGAACCCCTCAGCTTTATTTGCTGGACTAATGTTTCATAACTTTACATAGCACACTGGTTCCAATACAAGATATTAGTGCGATCATGCTGGATTTCCTGTGGATACCCCTTCTACACCACCAAGAAATATTCTTCTTGTCTTTTATTTGTTTGGTTTTTGAAAGAAGAGATCTGCAAAATTGTGAATCAGGACACTTGAAGAGTTTGAAGGAGATGTAAGTGTGTATTGTGGGTACATGTATGTCCATCTCACCTGGATATTTTTTTCTTTCCTGCCAAAGATACTTAGCCACGGTCTCTGCCACAGAGAAACCAACCCAAGTGCGAGGCTTGCAGCAGGAATAAAATACTCTTTCTTTGACATGATACTGCTCTCTAGTCCTTTTGGCAATATCATAGTTGTATCAATCTGAGGAAGGACAGAACTAGATTTGTTTAGTTCTTTTTAAAAAGAAAAAAAAAATCTTCCCGGAATCGTATGAATATTACAGACTGTATACAACTGACCCTTCTGCATGGATCTGAAAGGGAAACTGTCCTCATCAGTTCATTACCCTGAGGAAAAAACAACAATTTAGTGTCAACCTTGTTACTGTGAATACAGTTAAGGAATAATAATCTCAGGAGGAGCAAACCATTCTCCTGTCCAGTGTTACTTTTTGGAAGTAGAGCTTTCTAAAGCTGAGTTACAGAGAATGGGTTTTAAGCACAGCTTGTGTAGTTGACAGTTTTTACTTCTGATCTCATTAGAAAACACTTGAAACAGTAAATCCAGCCTGGTGCCGTTGTGGAAGAACCAGCCATACAGCAGATTTCTTCTTTGTCTTGCCCCAGTGGCTGCCGACTAAACACAATTTCTTCAGTCGACTGTTTTGGACAGCTCTTCCTTTCTGCTGCCCTGCCAGCATCTTTGCTTTTAAACATTTTTGTTCTTGTGGTCTAAGGATAATTGGAACTTTCCTTTTTTTCTTCTGGTATTTGTGTTCTGAAGTTTCTTTGTGTAGGCAGCTGGGAAGGGAGATTAGAGCTGGCCTGCCTAGAGTTGGCTGGCCCACAACTCCACAAGCTTCCCCCCTCATGAGCTTTCCAAGAGAAGAAAACAGGCCCTCCAAGTGTACCAGGCATGAGCTGTTTGCAGTTTTGAACTGAAACTGCTGCATGTTCCTGTTCAAACTTTGGTGCTTGTTCCTTGCAAACCCACTCTTTAATCTTATCCCCTTTGTTTTAGCACTTACATGTGGCAGTGGACAGGAGAGCAACTGTGAGGCCCAGCACTAAGTATTGGCCACCAAACAGCTTCTGTGTAAGTTTTGGGGGAAAAACTGTGCTGTTTGGTTGGCACCACCCTAGTGTATGTGATACCTGGAGTCTTGGGATGCTGGGCTGGGTGGCACTTAATGGTTTAAATAAATGCTCTGCTCAAATTGGCCATCCTCCCTGTGCTGTGAGTTGGTGTAACCACCCTGTGGCTGTTGTGGGTGGAAGGCCTTCTCCTCATGGTGCTGTGTCTCTGAGTGTAAATGCTGTTACTCCTTTCTTGTGAGTCTCAAATTCTGGGCACAGATGTGTCTCTGGGGGAAACAGATCCACAGTGGTATGTGTGATGTGTGTCACAGAGAGTATAGAGGCTGCATGGCTAACAATGTGTGCCACTCCCAAGCTCTGGAATGTTTCTGCAGTTCTTTAGTAGCAGCCTACTTGAGTGGTGTTGATATGGTTCTTTAAATTTCACATAAAAAGTAAATTATGGAAATGTTTCTCCTAAAAAAGTGTACTTTCCTGTCCATGTCTTCTCCTGCTTATAAACCACATCAGAGTTTCACTTTGCCAGAAATGCTGCCTATCTCTGTTTAGTTTTATAATGTTTGGAGCAGACCGGGAGAGGCAGGCCCTGAAATGGCTTGTCTTCTGCAGCAGGAACGTGATTACTCTTTAGACTGCTGCTTCATTAGAAGGATATTCATCCTGCTTTTCTTTGGGTTTTCTTCTCAGTGTTGTCTTTCTGTCCCTGAAAACACTTAGACTTGTGAAATACCTAACAAAGTAGTGTATGCAGTTGTTGCGGGTTTATAGTTAGTTGTGGCATTTCAAGCGTGTGTCAGTGTAGAAGGTCACTGTGATGTTCCCTGGGTGCTGCAGACACAAGTAATCACAAGTCCTGCTTGAGGTGGGAGCCACCCTTGAGGGTGCCTGTCCTGGCTGTAGTGATGGGGTTGCTTTTTTCTCAAAATTCTGAAATACCTCTGTGAAGTGGCTTCTTGTATCAAAACAGAGAACTAGCTCTGAATTGCCAGGTTACTGGCTCTTCCTTGCCCTTTTGGTCACTTTACTGGCCTAAGCCAAGTTTTCTCATCCCTTTTCCCAAGCCCGGTGTAATGCCTGGGGGCTGGTCAATAGTAGCAGCTCCCCATCTGGGGACAGTGGGGCAAGGACTAAAGCAATCCCAGTATAAAGTTCATGGTATCAATTTTCATATGAATTTTGTAATGAATTGCTATCACATGGGTTAGTTAAAAACCAGATGATTGCAACCAACTCGCTGCTCTGGATCTGGACAGTGATTTGCTTCCCCACGTGCTAATGACTCTTTCAGGCTTGTCTCATCCTTCAGTTTTATTACTGTCATGTTAAAAAGGTGCCTGGACAGGGTTACCTGTTCTGTCAGGGTTACAACACAAGAAGGGCTGTACCTGGTGAGCAAATCTAGCCAGGTATAAGCTGACCCTGTCTCTTGCATCTCTGCAATATTGTGGACCTTTGTGTCACAGCTATAGCAGCGTGAAATGGGCATTTTTGGGTTTGTATGGGGCAGTGGTTAAGTTATCTAATTACTGCAGGGGTGTTACAAATTACAAGAATTGGCTAAGTAGAATCGAGCTTTCCAAGTGCTGCAGTTCTTTCACCAGCAAATGCTTAAGTGCATGGTAGGCTGGCAACAAGTTACGGGGACCTGGTGTGTCATGAATATACTTACTGAGGTTGCCCTTGAGCCCTGTGTTCTCTGCTCATGCTTGAGCCCTGTCCAGAAGCCAACACGTTGTTGCAGGGGTCGGAGGTGTCCAGTAATTGAGGTGAGGAGTTACAAGCACCTAATGACCATGATAGTAAAGTGGGACATACAAGAGCTATGCCCTGTCCTGCTTCCTGCCATGGGGTTCCCTCGTTAAAGACGGCAAATCCTTTTTGATCCCAAGGTCTCTGGAGGAGTGCTTCTGCATGTTCTCCCCTTCCTTGCCATTCAGGGTGTATCACTGATACCCTCATCTTCAGAAGAAGGGAGAGCTCCTGCTGCAGGTGACATCTGTATGTCCTTCATGGCTTTGTTTTTTGCTGATAATCACATACACTGTGAACTGACTGGAGCAGAGAAGAGGTGGCCTCTATGGTCACAGGAGTCTAAGGCAACCCCAAGTCAGAGCTGACCTGGCAGGAGCATCTCTCTGGCCTGATCTGTGGCCTGGCCTACCTCTTCCTTGGATGCAGACTAAGAAGAAACGGAGCTGTTTATTTTATTGTGGCCGCCCCATATTTTTGCATTGTGATTTCACATGTGCCCATTGTGTCAAAGTGATGCTTGAACATTGGCCAAATGACGGGCCGGTGTCCAGGTTTGGGAAAGGAGTATGT